CCTTCTCCTCCATTCTCCTCTCGGGATCTTGGGCACTCACGCACACGCGCCCGGCATGAGTTTTAAGCCACTGGGTCTGGGACGCGAACCACGGTCAATTACGTGGGAGTCCAGCGACATGCCATTACGCTAACTGCTGGTCCCAAGACTACTTGAATTTCTTCAGCCAAACATTAGATCTTCATTATGCCCAGCGGCAAAGAAAGCTTTAAAATGTGTTTTTTTATTTTGTGAAGGTCTGGTGTTAGCTAACACTCAGAGTTTCTGTTTCCATGAAAGAAAGGAAAAGAAATGGGGCAACTAGGTGCATATGCTGCAGCTTCTGTTTTCCCTGTGAAGTGGTCAGTCTCTAAACATCAGCATAACTGCCAGCCAGACTGGACACACTTTCATAAAATTGTCCATTGAGGAAACAGTAAGTCAAATGGGTCTAGACAGCTGATTGCACAGACAAAAATAGCGACATGAGTTTCAAGTTTTCATTGACTCTTCTTATCCCCCAACTTCCATGGGCATCAGTGCAAAGTGGGTTCAAGAGGATGCTAAGCATACAGTGTATCTGTCTCACAGCTGAGGTACACTGAGCTTAGGACACTCAGACTTTATAGAGGGCAACGTCACCATCCTCCTTTCCAAAGACAGGAATTACCTTTTCCTTGAAAGGTAAGCAACTTTTCTCTGGGGAAAAGAGGAAATCTGTAATCAACTCCAAGGAATTAAAGCAAAGAGTGAGCTTCTTAGCCATAATGTAATACAATTAATTAGAGATAAAGAGGAAAGCTAAAAGTATCCTAAGTACTTTGAATTTAAATCATATGCCTCTAAAAACTCTTGGGTTATTAAGAAAATGTAAAACTTAGAACTGAATAATAGTAAAATCAATAAATGAATCAAATTAATGAGATAAATTAATGCTTAGAAATATTTCATTTTAAATGTTATTTATCAGAACACAAGATTGAAAACAAATGGGCTAGGGACCAGCAGTTGGTGTAATGGCTATGTCGCTGGACTCCCATGTAGTCTACCATGGTTCAAGTCCTGGACCCAGTGGCTTAAACTCATGTCAGGTGCATGTGTGTGTATGCCCAAAATCCTGAGAGGAGAATGGAGGAGAAGGGATTGTAGCATGGCCATCCATCGTCAGGGGTGATCTCTCCCTTTCTGTCTCTCTGTCTTTCTGGCAAGCACACACACCCTATACAAAAACCTCTAAAAAAAAACAATAAATAAATAAAAGAAAAGTAGTGGGCTAAATGTTCAACTCAAGAAGTTGGGAAAATACCAACAAAGTAAACGCAAATAAGAAAAATAGTGAAAAAAAAAAAACAGAGAGAAATCAATGAAATGGAAAGCAGTACAAACATTAGAGAACACTAGTTTTATAAAATGCTGATTTTCTTTTTCTTTTAAATAGGGCATGCATGCTCACTGGACAGTGACAGAGATAGAGAGAAGGAAAGTGAGAAATCTCCCCCCAGGCGATATGACCATAGTGGAATCCCTTCTGCTCCATTTGCCTCTCAGGATTTTGGGGCAAGCAAACACATATGCCCAGTGTGATATTCAAGCCTCCAGGTCTGGGTTGGCCATGTGGAAGTCTATCGCCTTCACTACCATGCCACCTGCTGCCCCCAAAATGCTGATTCTTAATGGACAAATGCCTAGCAAGATGAGAGATGGTACAAAAAACTCCACAACAGAACTTTTAAAAATAAGAATTGGGCACAGAGCTACTTACTACTCAAGAATAGCTAGATCCCACATGGACACTGGTTCAAATTTCTGGCTGATCCACCTGAAACATGCCAGGCATGTATGGGGGTGCCCTAGATTTGTTGAGTTGGAGAAGGAAGAAGAGGATGGCATTATGTCCAGACTCTGATGCTGGAATGGGCAGAGAGGCTTGTTCCAGGACCATGCCACTCTTTTCTTGACAAAGAGACAAGAGTAAGTGAATGAAGAAAGATTTATTCAGTGAGGCCAACACTGGAGAGAGAGTACATTGGCATCCAGAATCAATTTTGCTGTACTGGAGGAGATACAAAACTTATAGGGGAAGGGAGTCAGTGTAAGGTACACTTAAAAACAAAGGATAAGTTATTCATTGTCTTGGGGCAAAATGACAAGGAGTCCTGGTCATTGTTTTGAGCAGGATTATAAGGAGACTGGCAGATTTGAGAGGAAAAGAGGGAGCAATCATGGCTCCAAGGGGCAGCTTCTGTCCAGGACATGCAGGGCAGAATGGCCAATTCCAGGTCTTTCCAAGGGGCTTAAAGAAAGCAATGATTAACAAGGCAGCAGAAGAGAGTGAGCTAAGACGATTCTTAGATGCTGATTTAGAAGCAGTGAAGGTCCTGGTGTGGTTTTGCAATACTTGAGCTGATAAAATCTTATTAGCAGGTCATATGCGAGGGAGCTGGGATAGAGTTCCATAGCCAGGTATCTGTAAAGATCCAGCAAAGCTATTGTTAACTTTTGTTGGATATGGACAAGGTTCCATCTATTGTGAGGGTAGTAAAAGGAGAAGTTTGGTAGGACTCATTGCAAAGTGAAAAAAGTTAAGGACTGATTTTCCATGCACTTTATTTTTTTAAGGTGTACTTTAATTGTATCAAGATTACTTGTTTTGTTGTTTGCTCAAGGGAGGACACCAGTTAATAGTTAACTGACAGTGATACATTGGGAGATGGTGCCCTCGGTGATTGAGAAAGGCACAGGGTTACTGTCTAGATCATGCAAATCAACAAGAAGAGACAGGAATCCCAGTAAAAAAAAAAATGGATAAGATATGATGAATGATTCACAGCATGGAAAATTTAAGACTGCTATAAGCCACTCTAACAGGCAGTCTGACAGTACTTTGTAATGTTAAGAATGCACGTTCCCTATGATTCAGAACCCCATGTTCCCTATGATTCAGAACTCCATTCTTCTATTCCAGAAAAATCTCTCCCTAGGTCTTTAAGGGGAAAAGGATGAAGATGTTTATCACAGCATTGTTTGGAGTAGTGGAGAGTTAATGATAATGTAGGTATCCCTTGGTGGGGAACGGAGAAGTCAAACATAGTGGGTACACACTGGAAATTTTGCCCCAGTAAGAAAATCAAAGAGCTATATGTACATTTAGTTGAATGGTTAGATCCTAAGAACACAGATGAAAGAAAATGTTAGAAGCTATGAAATCAGGGCCAGCCACAGCTTGGTGGTTAAACAAGCTGGATCCCACATGGCTGACAACACGATTGAGTCCAGACCCAGTGGCTTGAGAAATGTGCTAGGCACGTGTGTGTGCCCAATATCCCAAAGGAAGGAAGAAGTGGAGGAGAAAGGATTGTAAGGGGACTATGTCCCCATGAGATTGCTTGCTTTCTTGGTTTTTCTCTCTCTCTCTCCTCTGCAAATGCAAAAAAAAAAAATTATAAAATCTATATTACATTTATACATTATAGTAAACCTATAGTACGACATTACACATCCATGAAACATATACACACACACATACATTCCCATGCACTTTACAAGTTCAAGGCTAACTATCAAACATATTAGAGGAGTTGCTTTGCAGGAAAGGCAATGGGAGTGAAGATAAAAGAGAAGGAATAAATAAAAAAAAGGGGGTCATGTAGGTTTTGACTATGTGCCATAAACTCATGGATTATGATTAACTCAACCCTCTGCACATGACATTAGATGAAAAGGGACTGAAAAACTTGCAATCATTGGCGAAAACTTCAACTTACAAATCAGCGAAGGTCAGCGTTAAGTCTGCCAAGTTTGCAGTTTGCAGCTTGGTGCCCACCTCTGCAGGCCATTAATAGTATCTCAGAGGTCTACCGACTGAGTTCCCGCGTGCTTTTAGACTTGCTCTTTCTCCTTAATTTTCATACCACCCAACATCATTCTAATTAGTAACAACAACATACTGTATTCCATACAAAATGAAAATGAAAGATAGCTTACAACCATCTACAGAATGTATGTCATAAATAATTTCATATTAGATGAGTTTCCATTTTAGGGCATAAATAATATTTTTCTTTTCCTTAGAATTTTGTTTTTAAAATGTTTGCTGTAAGGCACATATACTCGATGGAGAGACAGGGAGAGAGACAGAGAGGAAAAGTGAGAAAACACCCTCGGAGGGGGGATGGTCATGCTGCAATCCCTTCTCCTTGAATTCTCCTTTTAGGATTTCGGTCATGCACTTATGACAGGTATGATTTTCACGCCGCAGTGTCTAGGACTTGAACTGCATACTCAGCTACGTGGGATCCAGCTGCCTCTACGCCCTACTATGGGATGGCCCCCTAGAATTTTTTTTTTTTTTTTTTTTTTTTTTTAAGAAACTAACAGTGTTTCTGTCTTTGAAGTAGCAAACAATTAAGTGTGTTTTCCTCCAAACCCAGATGTGGGACATGTTTTTATGTGAGATAAGATTCAGAGTTTCCTTTTTAGAGCTGGTCCCACAGTGTAGCAGTTAAGTGCTGCACAGAGGAAGCCAGATCCCACACAGCCAACCAGACTTTGAGACCTGCCTCTTGAGCTTAAAAAACATACAGGAAACGTGCATGTACCCAGGAGAGAAACCTGGAGGAAAAAAGATTGTGGTGTGGCCAAGAGGGTGTTTTCTCTCTCACTCTTACTCTCTCTCTCTCTTTCATACACATGTCCTCTGGCATAATTTTGTTTTAATTTCATTTATAGCTGATGTGAGAAAAAAAGGACTATTACTCTGTTTTCTTAAAAATCACATTTGTGCTCAATTCAAAAGGAAAGAAAGGATACTCTAGAAGTGGCTTAGAATTTGTTGAACATGCAATAGTTTGAATTTGGGCTACTTACTTAAACTTTCTGTATCTCAGTTTCTTTCTGTTTTTAGAAAGATTTTTTTCTCTAGGGCACATACATTTGCCAGAGAGACACAGAAAGATAGACAGAAAGTGAGAAATCACCCCTCCGGGGGGATGGCCACGCTGCTGCATTTTCTTCATCTCCATTCTCTTCTTAAGATGGGCATGCATGCACGTGCACCTGGCGTTGGTTTTAAGCCACTAGGTCTGGGATTGGAACTGGGCCAACTACATGGAGTTCAGCTACATAACTATTATAACATCTGCTGGTCTCCTCAGTATCTTTTCATCTATTAAAAGATCGTGCTTTGGGGGCTAGCAGGTGGCATGGTGGTTGAGGCTAGACTCCCACATGGCTGACTGCAGTTTGAGTCCTGAACCCAGTGGCTTGCTTTGTCACTTTTCTCCACCTTCTTTCTTTCTCGCTCTCTCTGTGTCTTTCTCTGATCAAATTAAAAATAATAATAATGAATAAAATTAAACAATTATTTTTTAAAAGAAGGTCATGCTTCACTCATAGGACTATTGAGAGGAAAAAATGAAATCTTCATGTGAATGGTTTGGCACAGTGTCTATAAATAGACACAGAGTGTCCATGCCAAGAAACCCTAAGTAAAACCCTTAAAATTCCCATTAAAAGACATGCAGGTGGCATGGTGGTTAGGGTGCTGGTCTCCCACATGGCCTTCTACAGTTCAAGTTCCAGACCTGGCAGCTTGCTTTCTCACCTTCCCTCTCTGTTTCTCTCTAGTAGAATTGAAATAACAACAACAACAATAATAATACTAATAATCAAATAAATAATTATTTTTTAAAAAATTATTATTTATTTAATTTTATTCATTCATTCTTTTTTTTAATTGACCAGAGAGAGACATATATATAGAGAGAAAGGGATAAAGGAAGCCGCCAGGTCCGGGACTCGACGCGT